AAACCAGACCAAACGACCCTTGATTTGAAGATCCCGTATAGAACCCTTCGTCCCTGTCCAACGCGATCTGTTGTCGATTTTTGGTTGTGGGTTTGTGAAAGGAGATCGATTTATAGGGAGAGTGGGAGAGTTGAGAGAGAGGGAAAGAGTTGTGGGTTTGTTTCGCATGTTTTCTGAAATTGGGTTGTTTTATTGTGATATTTTACAAAACGGAGTTTTCCTCGTTTTCAGTTTTCAGTTGTTTTTTTTTTTTTTAATAGCAGTCGGTAGACTAGTATTTATACCTAATGAAATCCTCTTTCCTCATCGACAATGTAGCAACCTGCAATTACGCCTCCACCATCAGCTACCCTTCCCCCTACGAATTCAACCTACAATTCCACCTCCACCACCATCTACCCTTCCCCCTGCGAAGTAACCGCCCCAACTATTATCCAACTCGCCTCAATTTTCGCACCAATCAAATAAAAAAAAGAGGGGAAATCAGACCCAACAACTCAGAAATGGAATAGCAAGCAAATAACCAAAGACTATCACAAACAAAGAATCAAAACATTGATTTGAAGATGCGAAATCTTGAGTCAAACTGCCCATCGTGACACCCCTTCGATTCAGCTAAACCAGACCAAACGACCCTTGATTTGAAGATCCCGTATAGAACCCTTCGTCCCTGTCCAACGCGATCTGTTGTCGATTTTTGGTTGTGGGTTTGTGAAAGGAGATCGATTTATAGAGAGAGTTGAGAGAGAGGGAAAGAGTTGTGGGTTTGTTTCGCATGTTTTCTGAAATTTGGTTGTTTTATTGTGATATTTTACAAAACGAAGTTTTCCTCGTTTTCAGTTTTCAGTTGTTTTTTTTTTTTTTCCATTTTCAAAAAGCGTTTTCGAAAATAAGATAGAGAATGCGTTTTCACTGTTTTGAAAAATTAAAAACAGAAAACGGCTGGAAAACAACAAAGAGAACATGGCCTAATTTTCCCTTCTTCTTCACGTTTTCCCAATTTCGCTTCAAGATTTCCTACAAATTAATCTCTTAAACAATTAAAAGAAGCTATTTTCCAGCGATTTTTACTACTTTCATCAAATATGGTGGAAGAAACAAAGATTTTGTGGTCGCAAAGAGTTTTGGTTCAATCCTTTAGCTCCAACATGCCCACAAAAATCGAAACCAAATTCTTCGACGTCTCATTGGCTGTGGTGGCGGTTTCTCCTACTGATATTACTACTACGTCGCCTAAATCTCAAATCTTTTGCGCCTCTGATGCGGAGATTTCCATCGAAATCTGTTGTTCTGAATTCGCATATACATTTACGATTTTTCTTTTTTTTTTCTTTTTTTGATCTTGGTTTGTGATTGTTGTCAGTGACTGCTCGGATGATGAATTGTAAAGTTAAGTGACTAGTTGCGTTATTTTGAAAGTTCAGTGACCCCTTGCGTGCATGACTGAAAGTTTAGTGAATAAATATGCAATTCACTCCCACAACCATCAACAAACCACCATTTTTAACTACAAAACAACCATTGCCACCACTAGATCCACCACAGCCACCACCAGATCTAACAAAACCACAGACACCCCTAGATCCAACAAAGCCACCTCACCTAAACACAGCCACACACTAGATCCAAAACTGCTGCAATCCACAACCGCCATTACCACAACACCAGCATCAGAACCAGAACGCCGTTGGACGAAGATGAAAGCCACCAAATCAAATCTAGAACTAGAAGACTGGAGGTGGGATAGAGAGAGGCACTTGTTGTTGTTGTCGGGACCCTCGACGAAGGTGAACGCTGGTGTTGTTACCAGAGTGCGATGCTTGATGTTGTCTCGAAGTGCCTCGCACAATGGCATCGACGACGGTGCTTTCGACCACAGCTAGAGAGATGAGAGCATGTGGGTTAGAAGAAATGAGAGAAAATAGAGATGATGAAAATGATTAGGGTTTTGGTGTAGGTGGTTTGGTTGGTCGGTTGGGTATGGGATATGTGAAATGAATATGTATATTAATTTTGTAATATAATTATTAATATAGAAGAAATGAAAAAGGTTGAGGGTTTTGAAATCGGTGGGGTAGATGGGTTGGGTATATAGATTAATTTAATTTTTGTAATTATAATGTAATATAATTATTAATATTTAAAATTTTAATTATTATCTAATTTTTGAAACAAAAAAGACTTATAAATCTCAATTTTGAAATGGAAAATTTACAACTCGGTAGGCCGTAATTTGCACAATTTCAAATCCATAAAAAAATTCTAATGGATGTGACAGACGAGTGTTTTATCCATCATCAGCTCTATTTTTAGTACATCTCAAGTTAAAGAAGTGTTATATTTCATAACACATCCACGGTCCACCGTCACTTGGCCTGAAGTAGTTGAGAGTGGGATTTGGGAGATTTATTTCAGAATATAACACAAGCATTAACTTCTTTGAGTGGGTAAAGATGCAGAACTTGAGAAAAGAAAAAGCTCCAAGATTTTTGTTCATCATTCTATGTAATTTTGTTTAATTTAATGTGTCAAACATGTCAGTAAAATGGAACAGCCACCCCATACTTGTAGGAGATTTTATTGTGCTCAATTTTTTCAGCTGAAACTATAGTTAGGCATGGACTCAAATTAGTCCTCCAAAGTCCAAATTAGGGGTGTGTATGGTCGGATTGGGTTCAATTTTTGACCCAATCTGGTCGGATCGTAATATATTAATCGAAAAAAGAGAAATTGATGGATAAACCATTAAATCAGTCAATTTCACCGTAAACCACAAAATTGGACACGATATTCCCAGTTAATAAGTTTTTTTTCTTTTTTTTTTACAAAATAACTATCTTGATTGGCTCACGTATTGTACTAAGAAGCCTATTTTAGATTTCCTTCCAATTGGTAATCCAAGAGACTCCTTGACAGTCTTTATTATCCTCCGATGTCGAATAGACGAATAGAATTTGTAGCCATTGTCAATCTTACATACTTACTCCCTCTGTCCCAATTATATAGGCTGAGTTTCTTTTTTCTCTTGTCCCAAATATATAGTCATGTTTTCTAATGTAAAATATTTTGTTGTGTTCATTTACCAATATACCCTTATTAAATTTTCATCACTTATTATGCCAATTTCTTGAAATCATCCAAATACACACATTTCCAATTTCTTGGAAACATGGAACAACTCTCATTTCTTTCCCTTCTTCAAATTATTTATTAGTTCCAACAATAATTTAGTTTTACATACTGAAAATTAAATAGGAGTAAACTAGGAAAGATCTTGGCAAAAAACTGAACGTTTGTTTCGTACATCTTGGTAAAACATTGCAGAGAAAATCACGAAGAGGGACATTTATGTTGGGTGCTTCGACAGGCATTGTGACATTGCAGCTAGGGGAGCCATCTATCCGAGAAACTAATGCATGGTGTAGAAGGTGAAGGATTGTGTTAGAGGCAGTATGTACATGTTACTGCAGGAAGAAGTGCGAGACAATGTGAACGCTCGTCCATTAGGTGGATGGTGTCACAATTATTGAGAAATTTTTATACCTGGTGGTGTGGGAAAAAAATGCAATGCAAAAATTGCGCGAAGATGTAAGGTATACTGTCCGCTACGAGGGCATTAGCGGATGAGTGGTGGAATGAGCCATGGGCTAAGCGAACTCCCCTACGCATATGGGATGACAAGATTGCCAACTATTGGCTTAAGGTCAAATTACAGGAAAGTACGTTAATTTGTGTCCTACATGTAATTATAGTTGCAAGATTCCTACAGGGAGTATATCATGCGTTTACCTGTATCTCTTAACTTGTCGACTTGTGTGTTTGGGAGGCTACCCTGAAGGATCGCGGGAACATGGGGTGGTCCATCGCATCAAGCTAACTTCACCATGATTTCAACACCTAAAGTTCATAGGCTTGGTGAGCTGCTTTGGCTCGACATCTATAGAGTGAGCCGACCACAAAGTAGCTCGTATCTGGGCTAGCAACTTGAATTGCATCGGCTCATACACCTAAAGCTCGTGGGCTTCGTGCTGCTTGGAATGCTTCAACTCGGCACTTGGAGCTTGTTGAACTTGGACAAGTCAGCCTCTATGAGGGCTAGCTACTTTTTTTTTTTTTTAAATGAAACAAGTTTCATTGCACATCACAATAGCTAACGGTACACGGAGGAAAGACCTCCAACACAAAGCCCTCCAAAGCGGGATTAAGTGCTACCAAGGCAAGAGC